TCTTCTTGACTCTTCAACAGCCAGGGCTGGGAATGCTGAGATAGTCTTCCTGAAAGCACATTCTGGCAGCAGGATTTTTACAGCGGGCACAGATACCTGATTTCTTCCCATCTTTTCAGTAACAGGCTGCGAGCGTGCTTCTCTGGCTGTTTGGCATTCACTGGAAAAGATTGTGACGAGAAGGAGAATCAATAAATTCCATCACAGATGACAAACATGGAGGGAAAACATTGCTTGGGGTTGCTAATCAACATCTGCAGTTGGGATGGATGGAGCATTCCAGGGTCAGACCCCCTCACCCGAGATGCTCCCGCGTGTGTTGGCAAAGCTCCTGCCAAGGGCTCCTCAGTCGCAGGGCCCCCCCTCCATCTGCAGTGGTGCTTCTGCCAGGTTCCCAGTCCCGTTTCAGCAGTCTCCTGTCTCCTTGCCTTGAAAGCCTGATTGCAAATCCTAAACAAGTGCTCTATGATGGGCTGGCTCCCTGCCCAGAGACTGCATCAGAAATTCTGCTTGATGTATCAAACTCTCAGCAAGCAGGGGGAAGGGAGGAGAGCCAGGGGAGGTAAGGAAGGGGGACCATAGACAACCCCAACTTCCCTGCTTCCCTTTCCCCAGGAGACCAGGGAAAGCATGAGGAGGTTCCCTTCCCTTCAACCTGTCCCTACCCAGCAGGGCTTTACACCATATCCTGATGGATTTGATCCACAGGAAAACAGCAGCGAGAGGGACCATGGATGCCAGACGCCGCAGTCATGCCATACCCTTCCGACCTACTCATGCGACCCCACCGCTCATGGGATCTGTCCAGGGCCACCAGCCCCACGCTCCCCAGCCAGACTCCTTCCTCCATCAGCAATGCAGGTATCATGGCAGCAGCTCCTCGGGTATTTGGAGCTCCTGACTGCAATCTTAAATATCAAACCAAGGCCACGCCACGCAGACCTGCTCTGTGGGGTGGCACAAGTCCTGCTGAGGAAGCTCTGACAAGAGAGGCTGAGGGCACCTTAGTCAGTCCCACCAGTCAGTGTTCTCTACTCAGAGGGCAAAGTGGAGCTCTTCGGAGGCTGCCAGACCTATGGAGCTGTCAAGTCACATTGTGAACTAGTCCTTTACACAATTTAACCATTTTCTTTCTTGGCAGGCAGAGAAGAGGGATGGCAGCAGTGTGTATAGGCAAGCAAGCAAGACTTCAGAACCCCCCTGAGATGTCCCCGGGCACCACATTTGAGCTCAGGAGACCCGGAGACACAGGTTGTGGTGCAGGGCTGAGCTCTCCTAGCCACCATCTGATACTCAAAGCTTCAACGCAACCCGGAGGTGGCTTTGCATTTGGCCTCCTCACATGGCAACAGAAGGGTGAAAAAACCTTTCTTGTTTTTAAGCCAAAGGTGGCATTAGCTGCTTATAAGGATCTCAAATATGTTGGAGTCGAACAGGTCAGTTTTCAGGCTCCAAAACCGTCAAAGGCTCTTGGGTCAAGAGATATCTGGAAACTGTGCTGCTTGATGTTAGTCACCTACTATTTCATCCTAATGCCCTTTTAAAAGGAGCTTCTTTTCTCAGCGAGAGGTTGACCCAGCACACTGAGGAGCCCCTGGAAGAACTGCTGACGTTGGCGGGCTCTACATCACGCCAATGCTATTCTGGCTTCTTCCCCGCGATGGCCTCCCTTCATTAGATGTCACAGCACGAGGACAGTCTCTTTCAAAGGCAGAAGGGAGAAAAGGCAGCTACCACTGTACTTTTCAAGCCAATTTGGTGCAATCTTTGCCCTCTCCAAAGGATGAACTTGTGAAAAAAAATCCTGGGGCCATGTTGCAGAGCCCATATTGCATCGCAGTCAGCCCCTGCATACAGGATGTCCCTCTCCTGAGGTGCATCTGAAATAAAACACCCCTATGGTCCCCCAAAAGGCTCCCTGAGAAGCAAAGGCCTAAATCCAGTGTTTTCAATTTCTCTTACCAACCAAAAGCAGGAGCTCCGACTGCTGTTTTTTTGGGGGAGGGTGAAGCAGTAGGGTGGATCACAGCCAGAAGAGATAGTAATTAGTCATAAGGAAAAATATGATAACTGGGTCCCATGCCAAAGGCAGAAGAGCAAGAAGAGCAAGGTCCTCACGTAGACATGGCCAGGGTGGGTTGGGGCCAGGATCTAAGGCAAGTCACGCCTAGAGCTCAGCCCTGTGACTGGCAGGACATTGGTCCACACGGGTGGGATGGGCCCTTCTCAAGTGAGAACGCAACTCCTTTAACACATCCCAACCTCCAGAAACAAGGACGCCGACCACCAGGCAAGAAAGGACTAGCAGGAGAGACAGAAAGATCCCAGCCCGTCTGTACAGCCTCTGGGTCAAATTAGGGCATGGAAATGGGGACAGCAGCAAGAAGGGTCCTCATGGGAAGGAGGATGCGAGATCAAACAGCAGCAGGGACAGAGACAGGACTCCATCACGCGGCAGCCCAGACGTGGAGCCAGGGTCTGTTCAAGGAGGTGGTGAGGGGATGGAAATCTTTTTTCTCAAGGATATCCTCAGGAATTTATCCAGGTATCAAATATTAAAATCTTTGTTTTCCCCACCTATCAAACCACCAAGGCAGATGACCATAGATTAAACACAAGACGTTGCTGCTGGCATCCACCTGCACATCCCAGACACTTCCTTGCTCTGAATGGACAACCCTGCCCCATGCAGGACCGGGGACCTGCGCCTACTCCATGGGTGTCACCAGCTGCCAGGATTACTACACCTCTCTCAAACTTTTTGCTACATCCATCACCCATGGCACCCAGCACCGAGACGGCCCGTCAGCGCAGCATTCACCCTAAGGGTCCCTCTCTGCTTGCTGCCCGCACCGGTGGCTGGGAGCAGGTGGAGGAGGAGTCCCAGTGCAACCAGGGCTGGGCTTTCCCGGCGGGGAGGGAGCTTTGCCACTCACCTAGCAGCAGGTTCATGAGGACCTCTTGGCCTGCCAGCGTGCTGCTCTTCACCAGGCAGATGAGGGTGCCGGCGATCCAGGGGATCCCATGCCCCGTTATCCCCAGGAGGTTGATCATGGAGCGGGCACCGCCCCAGGAGGACGCCCTGTTGGCACACACTCCCAGCCTCTTGGACATGCAGATATCGATGGCTAGGAGGGAGTTGAAGGCGATTCCTTTGAAGGAGGGGTTGAGCTGCATGCAGTCCTCTTCGGGCAGCTGCTGCGACTGCCTCCGCTCCTTGGGGTTGCTGTTCTGGGCACCGGCTGCCCCGGCCTGGCTGCTCTGCTTTCTGCCGGAGCCCCTGCTCTCCTGGTTCCCCTTCAAGGGCTGATTCAGGGAGAGGAACTCAGCCCTGTTGAGGACATTGTTCCTGTCTCTCGCCCGGGACCGCGGCTGGGATGCTGGCATTGCAGTCTCTTCACGCAACCTTTGCAAATACCGGGAAGGAGAGCAACTCCTCTTCTCCCTGCAGAGATCTTCCCCGACTCCCACCCTCACGAGCGGTGTTCGGAAAGCCACAAAGGTTCCCCTCTGTTGCAGTTGCCCCCAGCACAGACTGCAGCTGTTAAATATAGAGTAAGGAATGCACATGGCTGTTTACTTCGTGGGCCTAGCGAGCCTGGAAGGAAAATTAACTCCAGGTTTGGCAGCCACTCCAGTGCCAGAGAAAAAGGTTACATAGCCAATAGATTGGGAGAAGAGGAGGGAAAAGCGTCGTGCCAAAGGTTGGTTGCTTCTGGCCTGGTCTATTTAAATCTTCCAATTGCTTATTCCCCTGGGCTGCAGGGGAAACTGGGAAATGTAGTTTCTTGCAGCACAATTCGCATTTCAGAACGGGCGAGTCAGGGCTGGGGGAGATGGCAGCACCCTCAGCTGGCACAGCTCCGGCGCTGGGCTGTGCCGCCCCGCTGTGCTGGGCACTGCTCGGGGGCTTCCCCCCAAGGGGCTCTCCCTGGGTATCTTCTCGACTTGTCTGTTCTGCAACATCTCACCCTCTGCTAGGGCACCCTAAACACGACCTCACCTTCCCCTCCCTGGCCTGGACACCTTTCAAGCACCACCAGCCCCGCTCCGGGCGCACCCCTGCAGAGGCTGCCATCATCCCGGCCCGAGTAGCAGCAGCATCTGCCTCCCGATTAAAAGAGACACGGCGCCGCTAACGAATTCCCATCCCCCAGCGCCGAGCGTGGCCTCAATACCGCACGTGTTTCTGCCGTGTCACCCGGCATCACGGAGCCCACGCTGAGAGCGGGTGACAGGCGGTGCCGCGTCCCCGAGCTGCGGCTGTGATCAGCAGCACAGGTACCGGCCCCAGGGGAGCGGGCATCGCGGGATGGGGTGGGAGGAAGGCTCGTGCCCGGCCCTGGGCAGGCCCTGAGCCCCTCTGAGGCATCTCCCACCCGCCGACCACCTGAGAACGTCCCCGCCTGCGCTTGCATCTCCACTTCACAGGTCTGAACCATCTCGCTACAGTCCCTGAACCGCAGCTGCCTGGCTCCCAGCCTCAATGCAAGAGACCATCCGTCTCGGCTCCTCCTGCCCGAAGGACGGCAGTGCCTGAGCCAGATCCACCCGGGCTGCCATCACCGAGTCACCTCCCCTGGGCAATGGGCTGTCGCGGCTCTGCACCACCCACGTGCTCAAGAAACAGGATTATTCCTATGCAAACAGGCTGGAAATCCCCCGTGGACAGAGAAGTGGAGAAGATGAATATTGCACTGAGGGGCAGAACAGGCACATCTCTTGGTGCCAGTGACATTTGCCTACACAAACGTTCAGTTACAGAGGCCAGTATCTGCACAGGTAACCCTGGGAATCAGGCCCCCAGGTGGCTTTAAAAGTCTTGTCCAAAACGCACTGGAGAGCTGAAGTGCTAAATGAAAGGTGGCTCTTGGCTTTCGAAGATAATAGGAAAAATGTTGCACTTTCTTCGCACTTTTTATCCAGAGTTCTCAGAACCCTCTCAACGCGTCTGCACCCAGCCTGTGCCCGTCGGACAGAGGTGGCCAGAGGTGAGGGCAATGCTTCACCAAGCAAGTGCCAGAGGTCCTGAGGAGCCCTCGGCCCTGGGCTTCGCTCATGCTCCCCTCCCTAATGAATCAAAGGAAAATAATAGATGTGGATTTATTTCTGAATCACCCCCTCCAGGAACCTACCCCTAGCCTGCAATGGTGATCCCAGCTGGAGGAAGAGCTCGTCCCCTCCTCAGGCACCCCTACCCAGCCCGTAAACCACAACCCTGTCCAGCTCGGGTACCATCAGGGGCTGCCCCATCACCAACACCCACCAGCTCCCGCCCGATCGCCGGCTGCGCGGCAGCATTCTCACGCTATCGGGGAAGTCAGCGCCTCGTCCCTATCTGCCTGCCCTCGTCCTGCTGCCCGGCTCCAAGGCATGTGGAAAATCTCAGCCCACCTGCCATCAGCCGGCGAGATAACCGGCGTCACCGCTTTAACTGGGCTACGGCTGTCACCTCGCTGCTGGACGGCCTCCCTGTTCGTCCCGCTCCACGCAGGGCTGCTGCCGTGTGGGGCTCCTCGCAAACGCCCGTGAGCAGAGGGTTAAAGCTCTGGTGGCCGGGAGCCCGCAGAAACGGGGAGACTCCTCTCTTGCTCCTGTCCGGCCCGGTGCCGGGGATGCTGAGCCATGACTGAGCGTGTTCCTCAGGAGCTGTCACTGGGGAGAAAAAATACCGCGAAAGCCCTGGGAGTTAATTGAATCTGGTGCCTGTCTCTTCTGCTGACACGGATATGGGGGAATTTCTCTGGCTTACACGCATTGCTGCCCCGGCCCCCCGCGGGAACCCAGCCTCGCACCCCAGCACGAGTCCCCAGCGGGACGGGGACGGAGGAGGAAGGGCAGCATGGGATGGGACAGTGCCAGTGAACCCCTGTCAGAGGCGCAGCGGGCCGGGGAAGCAATGCGGTCTGTCCTGCAGCCGGGCGGGCTGTCACCACCAGTCCCAGCCAAAGAAACCCAGCTTGGGGGGCAAGTGTCCCCGAACCCCGCACTTGGGACCATGCCAAGCGCTGTCCCGCCACGCGCATGGAGGAAGAGACGCAGCGAGCTGAGAGCAAAAGTGCTCTGCTCACAAAAGCAGGGGTTTATAAATATCCCTGCTAAACCTGTAGAAAGGCTCCGTGCTCCGGCGGGGCTATTCCGGGCCTGACACCCGATCCACGCCGGTCATCGAGCACATCGGAGAACACCCAGACGGACAAATCTGGCCGGACAAATCTGGCACGCTCCCAAGGGCAGATCATACAGCGGGAAGGACTGACCCATGCGTGCTGTGTTGAGGTAAACGTGCAGGCCGGTGCTTCAGAGCTGAGTGAGTCTGCAATTTTACTGTTTTAATAGGGGTATGATTAGATTTAGAAAAATGTGACCTTCAAGGGGGGGAAAAACTCCAAAACCCCACCAAAAAGCAGACTTGTATGGAAAGTTTCAACTATTTTAAGGACAAGTTTTGAGGGTTGCGTCTTCCTTAAAAGTCATGTAGCTATCTATGTCTTTCTTTTAGAAAGTAAAGGGTCCTTTCACTCATTTCTAGATAGTTTCATAAGGCTTTTAGTGATTTTTTTTCCTAAAATAACAAGTACTAACAGATCTATAAACAGAAGTTGCACCATTCCGTTCAATACATTTTGCAAGGTTTTTCTCCCAGAATACCAGTTGACACAATCTGTCGTTTCTCTAGATGCAGTTACATAAAGCACGGCAAATACCAGAAAGTTTTTGTTTTCTGTAGGAGCAAAAAAATGCTGGTGAACGGGTTTCTTAGTCAGCTAGGCCCGCTGAACACAGCAGAGCTTTGAATTCTTACCAAATGACTGTGTTTCGCTTTCCTTCCATTCATTTTGGCAGGTCAGAGCTCCTCTAGGCAGTGCCAAACAGCTTTTTCAGTGGTCTGCTCCGTGTTCCCCAGAGTGAAAGTAATGGCCCCAAATTTGTTCATTTTTCCTTTGCTGTCTGCCTCCCACTTGCCCAGTCATTATGGGTTATTGGCAGATCTCTGGTGTCTCCACAGTTGGGTGTGTTGACCTTTGATAAAAGCAGCACCAACTCTTGCACCTTTTATAATAATCCTCATATTTTCATTCAGTGTAAATTGGGCATGAGTAATTTTCTCTGGTGTTTTTTTTTAATGTATCGGTGAAAAAAAACAGGAAATAATGTCGTAGGGCATAATAGTTTCTCACGGGTCAACAACAGATTTGGAAATATTTGAATCCACAGCACAGGTTCAGGACAGCATAGTGTCTACAGATTTTCATGAGTTTTGTGGGACAGAATTTTTTGGACCATGGGATGGGACAGTGCCAGTGAACCCCTGTCAGAGGCGCAGCGGGCCGGGGAAGCAATGCGGTCTGTCCTGCAGCCGGGCGGGCTGTCACCACCAGTCCCAGCCAAAGAAACCCAGCTTGGGGGGCAAGTGTCCCCGAACCCCGCACTTGGGACCATGCCAAGCGCTGTCCCGCCACGCGCATGGAGGAAGAGACGCAGCGAGCTGAGAGCAAAAGTGCTCTGCTCACAAAAGCAGGGGTTTATAAATATCCCTGCTAAACCTGTAGAGAGGCTCCGTGCTCCGGCGGGGCTATTCCGGGCCTGACACCCGATCCACGCCGGTCATCGAGCACATCGGAGAACACCCAGACGGACAAATCTGGCCGGACAAATCTGGCACGCTCCGCGAGTAAACCCGCGGCGTTCCTGGGTGGGATTCTTCTTGGGGTGGAAAAGAAAGCTTGGCCAGAATAAAATATAACACTCTGCAGCATTTACAGCCCACGCAGCAGGGCCAGTCAGGCCCATTAGTGCAGCACAGCCTAGCCACTGGTGGGCTGCTCTTATCTGCTGCGGCTCAGGCGGCGAAGGGGAGACCCTGCCTTGCAGTGAGCCTGGACAACATGCTGGAAGGACACGGAGGCACAGTGCTGGCCACCATGCTGGGGCAAGCAACAGCAGGAACGGAGCACAGCTGTGCTGCGAAAGGCACGGAGAGGTGCATCAAACGAGTGTCAGAGGGAAACGCAACTCACAGCATCAGCAGGGACTCCTAATTCTTACTTCTCACAGCTTGGCCTTGCATCTCCAGCAGCTCCATCAGCGAGCACCATGCTCTCTGGCACAGGAACCGTTCTGCACTCGGCTGAATGCAGCCGCTCTGGGGTGGAGTGTGCTAACGCCTGAATCACTCCCAGCAGCGCGATGGAGACAGGCACCACCAACACCCAAAGAAAACTCCAGCTGAAGATGAAAAACTAATTAAAATTAGAGTGAGATAATGCAATTTCCTAGTTGACCAGAACACCAGAGACAGCCAAGTTGAAGCAAGACCTGGCTGAAGCTGCAGTGAAACTAGAGTTGCAGACTACGCAGTTTCACCGGATTCACAGTGCTCTGAGAAACTGTGACAAGCTTGTTTGGAAAGTGTGAAAGAGTCTTGGAAATGTCAAAGTATTTCAGCACCTTCTGGAGACTGCTGAAGCAACTGGATATTTCCTTTGGAGCTGCTCATTTCATTCTTTCTTGTACTATGTGACAGTAAGTTGCTTGCTTGTGACTTCAGCGCGTTCTTAGTTCTTCTCTCTGTTGCAGGGCCAGTGACTACAGTCGCGCCCTTCACGGAGACTGGGGAGTTTAAAGTCAATACTCGGCCGATGCTTTGAGAAACGCGCAGAACAAAACCACAACAAGATACCGTGGTTTTCCCAAAAAAAGCTGCAGAACCCTTTTCGCGTCGCCCCCCCCCGCCGTAACCACACCGCAACCGGCACCGACAAAGTGATCTTTACCTCTCCGTTCCCCAGGTTTCCTATTCAGAAACAAGTCACAGGGACACGCGCACCCGGCGCGACGCTCGACGCCCAGCAGCCATCGCCGAAACGCTGGGGACGCGCAGGTCACCCGGCGCTCAGCTCCCCCC